AGTAAGCTCAGAGCAATCAATAGTTTTTTTCTAGCCTAAAGCTCCAAAGTCTTTCACTATGCTCCCCCAAAAACAACATGGTTAGGTGCAGCAACACCCCTACAATCCTAGTACCAATTTCTGTTTTAGTTTGGTTTCCTGTTGCTGTAAGAAACAAAATGACCCAAAACAATTTGGGATGGAAAGGGTTTAATTTATATCTTAGTCACAGTCCATCACTGAAGGAAGTCAGGGCAGGAACCTGGAGTCAGGAACTGAGACAAGAGACCATGGAGGAATGCTGTAAACTGGCTTCTCCAATGCTCTTTTTATACCTTCCAGGATCAGCTACTCAGAGGTGGCACCACCTACAGTTGACCTGGGCCCTCCCACATCAGCCATTAATCAAGACAAGCTTACGGGTCACTCTGATGGGGGACAATCCCTCTTCCCAGACGACTTTAGTTTGTGTCACACTGACAACAGCTGACAACGGTGCAACCTGATGATGTTTTCTTCTGCACATTTCTGTGTTATGGTTCAGTCTCATCACGTGGCCTGTAAAAGTGCTGATCTGACCAGGCAACCCCCAAGAGTTTATTCAGAAAAACAATATAGTACAAAAAGAGAGGATGAAGGACAATTCAGTGGACAGAACCTATTACCACATAAGCCTGAGACCTGAGTTTGGATCCCGAGGACCCATAGACAAGCTGGCAATGGTCACGTGCTCCTGCAACCCCGGAAATGGTAGGGGAAGGAAACCAGGAGGATTGGTGGGGTTTGCTGGCTTACTCTAAAAACAGCAAAGCTGAAAGTACCTGTCTCAAGGGGATAAAGAAGAATTTGATAGAGTAAGACAGCCAACGTCCTCCTCTGGCCTCTGAATGTGGTCATGGATATGTGTGGCCAAAGAAAAATGCATATGCGCGCGCGCGCACACACACACACACACACACACACACACACACACACTCACACGAAATAAATACTTTTTAAAAAAAAAGTAGCTTGTATCAATGGCACACACAAATCTCAACCTTAGGGCTGTCCACCAAGCCTGAGGACCTAAGTTTGATCCTTGAAACCTACACGACAGGAGAGAGTCCCACTCGCAAGTTGTCCTCCAACCTCCATATAAGTGCTCTGTCATGTTCACATCCCTAAAAAATAAATAAAAATTTAAAAACTATACTTTATATCATATACAACAATAAACTGCAAAAGGATCAGGAATCTAAATTTAAATTTAAAAAAAAAAAACTACACTGGGCAGTGTTCAAGTGTGACCACTAGGTGGCAGTAGCCCAAAGCATAATTTGGGCAGTTGGAGCAGATGGAGCAGACTTCCACCCTGGTAATCAGAGCGCATAAGTGGGTAGACAGAACTGCCAGCAGAGAAGGCAGTCAGAGAGGAGGCTTGCATGACTATCTATCCAGGAGTTTCTGGGTCAGATCTGAAAGCATCAAGTGGTTGGGCTCTTCACAGTCACAGGGGTTATCCTAGCCATGGCTAACAGGTCTGGGGCACAATTTCAATGACTATAAACAGCATGATGAAAAAGATTCTTGCTTGAAGTTTGAAACAATCACTATTGTCAGTCATCGTTCTATCCACATTGAAGTGCAACTCTATCTTTGGCTTCCAGCTCTCAGTGTTTTGGATTTACAGGAAAGGAGTACCACTGAATCATATAATAATGGGTTTTAATAGTGAAACCACCATACAGCTCTCCAGACCCGCTATGCCATTTTACTACGTAACACACATTTCCTTCTTTTTACTTTTTGTTTCTTACTTTTCATTTTGTATTATGTGAGGTGGGCACATGCATGGATTTCAGAGGACAACTACTAGAGTCGGTTCTGCCCACCACTTGAGCTCCAGGGGTCAAACTCAGGTCATCAGCCCTGGCAGAAGTGCCTTTACCCACTGAGCCATCCTGCCAGCCCTGCTTTGCTTTTTAGAATCCCCCCTCCAACTGCTGTTGATGATAACCAGAATCAGTGTGGTAAATGAGATCTTATTTGTACTCTGCAGGGAATCTATACCTTTGCACATGCTAAATACATAAGATCCACTACATCCCTCCTGTTACACATGCTAAATACATAAGATCCACTACAGCCCTCTTGTTATTACACATGCTAAATACATAAGATCCACTACAGCCCTCTTGTTATTACACATGCTAAATACATAAGATCCACTACAGCCCTCTTGTTATTACACATGCTAAATACATAAGATCCACTACAGCCCTCCTGTTACACATGCTAAATACATAAGATCCACTACAGCCCTCTTGTTATTACACATGCTAAATACATAAGATACACTACAGTCCTCTTGTTATTACACATGCTAAATACATAAGATCCACTACAGCCCTCTTGTTATTACACATGCTAAATACATAAGATCCACTACAGCCCTCTTGTTATTACACATGCTAAATACATAAGATCCACTACAGCCCTCTTGTTATTACACATGCTAAATACATAAGATCCACTACAGCCCTCCTGTTACACATGCTAAATACATAAGATCCACTACAGCCCTCTTGTTATTACACATGCTAAGTACATAAGATACACTACAGCCCTCTTGTTGTGGTTTGGATTTATTTTCCCTATTTAGTGATTTAACCATCTTTTGTTGTACTTCCTGCTCATTTGTAGGCCTTTTATATACTTGAGTTTTATTGTTGCTCTTGAATTCCCAGGTTTTGTATGAGGGTATGTGTGTGTCTCAGGCTGGGCTCAAACTTATTTGACCTCAAAATTTTTTAAAAACTAGTAAACAAAGCAGCAAGATGGATCTCACTACATGGATCTGCCTCTACCTCTCAATTGTTGCTATTAAAGGCATGGGACACCATATCTTAATTTTGATTTAACAGATAATAATATTAGCCATTTTCTTTTGTATGGTCATTGGTGGGACAGGTAATTCTACTCGTTTTTCTGTATCTGGGTTCTTTTGATTCTAGGGTTGCTATAGAGCTTGTTTTCTTCTCTCTGAGTAGCACTGGGATGACCCTAAGGAGAAGACCTCCGAATCAAACTAGAAGAGCTGGAAGGCTGAACTGCTTGACAAAGAATTCACAAGTCTGCATTTTTTAAAGCTTTTTTTTTTTTAACTTTTTTCCTCATGTTTCTCTGTGAGTATATACAGCAAGGTGCATGCGTGGAGGCCAGAGGACAGTGTGTGCCGGTCAGTCCTCTCCTCTCACCATATGCGTTCTGGACACTGGACTCAAGTCCTTTGGATCGGCACTACTTTCAGAGTTCTCTCAAAAGTCCTGAAAAGTCATTAAAATAACCAGGCGACGCTGGCACACGCATTTAATCTCAGTACTTGGTAGACAGAGGCAGGTGGATCTCTGTGAGTTCAAGGCCAACCTGGTCTACAGAGTGAATTCCAGGACAGGTTCCAAAGCTTCAGAGAAACCCTGTCTGGAAAACAACAACAACAAACAACCATATTTTTATATGTTACAGAGTTCATCTGTGGGCTTCAGAGGTGGCTTAGCAGTTATGTAGCTCCCCATTACCACAAATTATACAGTCAAGTTTCCCATATTTGGGGGGAATGCAGGGGTCAAAACATTTAGAGTACAATGAATAGGCCATGCTCTGTGAAAACCGCCTTTATGATCACAGTATCTCTCTCCCCTGCCAGGTATTTATGTTTTGTGTTTGAGACAATGTCTTAGTTACTATTCTATTGCTGTGACAACCATGACCAAGGCAAATCTTATTTCAAAAGCAGCAGCAGCATTTACCGGAGGCTTGCTTACAGTTTTAGAGGGCCAGTCCATGATCCTTTATTTTGGGGGGAAGCAGACATGTATGTCACTGGAGCAATAAATGAGAGCTTTACATTCCGATCTGCAGGCAGCAGGCAGAGAGATATCCTGGGATCGGCATGGGCTTTTGAAACCCACCTCAAGTGACGTACCTCCTCCAAGGCCATCCCACCTAATCCTTCTCAAACCATTACACCAATTGAGGACCAAGCATTCAAACAGGAGTCTTTCTCATTCAAACCACCACAAACAGGAACTCAGTTAGCCCTGAGCAGCCTCAAACTTACCATGGCAAGGGTGACCTTGAAGTCCTAGTCCTCCTACTTCCACCTCCTGAGTCCTGGCAAGACAGGGGATCTACCATAACACTCACTTTTATTTTTGTTTTGAGAGGGGATCTGATGACACCCAAAATGGCCTCAAACTCAATATGTAGGGAATACTGGCCTTGAATTCCTAATCAATCTGGCCTCATGCCCTCAAGTGTTAGGATTATATTAGTGTGCCATTATTTTCATGCTATTTGTTTAACTTATTATTATTATTATTATTATTATTATTAAAAATTTCCACCTCCTCCTCACCTCCCATTTTCCTCCCTCATCCCCCCACGCTATTTGTTTTTTTTAAGATTTTTTTTCAGGAGGGAGGTGGTGGTACATGCCTTTAATCCCAGCACTTAGCAGGCAGAGGCAGGTGGATCTCTGAGAGTTCATTGCCAGCCTAGTCTACAGATCAAGTTCCAGGACAGTCAGGGCTACACAGATAAACTTATTTCAAAAAAAAAAACAATCAGAAAAGAATTTTTATTATTTTGTGTGCATGAGTGTTTTACCTACATGTATTTATGTGTAGCACATGACTGTATGATGTTCTCAGGAACCAGAAAAGGACATCAGATGAGCTGAAATTGGAGTTACAGGCATGATTGTGAGCCACCATGTAGGCACTGGGAACCAAATACTAGGCCCTCTAGAAGAGCAACAAGTGCTCTTACCTGCTAAGTCATCATTTTAGCCCCACCCTTTGATTTTTAAAGATAGATAGGATATTAAAGAAAAATGTTAAAAAAAGAAAGACAAGATCTTGCTGTATAGCACAGGTCTTAAACTCAATCCTACTTCTACCACACAAATTGTAGGATTATAGAAACAGGGGCCACTGCAATCAGACTTGTATGCAACCAAAGCATTGAGTAGTCTAAAGGTTTATTCATTGATTATTACATCTATTTGTTAGAGCTAATGCAACAAAGAAACACACCAGGTAGCTTAAACATGGTTATTCATTTCTTACAATTTGGAGGCTGGAGATCAAAGATCAGCACAGCTCAGGTAGTTTCCTCTGGAGGCCACAAGCAGAAACTCCTTGGTAACAATCTGTCTCTATTTGCAGAAGGCTGAAGACTTATTATTTATTATGATCATCTCCGTGTGCATCCTGCTGCACCTTAACCTTCTGAGGACATCAGTCATGCTGCCCAAAGGGGCTCATTACAACATACCTTCCTTTTCATTGTCATTACGTGTATAATAAGTGTTTTGCCTGCACATGTAGGTGAAGTCTATGTTTGCTGAGCACTTACAGAGGCCAGAGAGGGTGCCAAATCCCCTGGAACTAGAGTTGTGGATAGTTGCGAGTTGCCATGTGAGTGCTGAGAACTGAATCCATGTCCTCTGCAAGAGCGGCAGGTGCTTCTAACTGTTTAAGCCATCTCTACAGACCCTCATTTTAATTTTCAAAATATATTATTACTGGGGGCTGGCAAGTGGGCTTGGGTGCCACAGCATTCACGTGGAGGTCAGAGGACAGCTTATAAGAGCCACTTCTCTCCTTACACTGTGGGGAACCAGGGATAGAACCCAAGTTGTCAGGATTGTATGTAGAATGCTTTTATCTGCTGAGCCATCTCAATGGCCCTCCATTAAGTTCTTTAAAAATTTACTTATGACTGTGGCATATGTGGGAAGTAAGCAAACATACGGAGGTCAGAGGACAACTGTAAGGCACTGGTCCTCTTACCCTGTTGAAGCATGATAAGGTCTCTCAGAAGATAGCTGGCCTGTGAGCTTCCAGGCGATTCTCCTGCCGGACTCCTATCTTGTAGGACTGTTGGCAATACAGATGAATGCCACTATTGTCTATTTTACACGCATACAGATCAAATTCAAGATGTCAGACATTCACAACAAGTGATTTTATCCACTGAGCCATCTTGTCAGCAATCGTTTTAATTTTTTTGACATGGAGTACTTGTGTTGCCCAGTTTGGATTTAAATTTATCCCCCATCTTCAGCCTCCTGAGCAGCTACCATACAGTACTGCTCCAAGCTGTATATATAATTTTAACAGTTTCTCTCCACTGTGAGTACCATCATGTCTTCAAAGTAAACTAGAGCAAATCATGGCTTTCTCACACAGCTTCCATCAGCCAGGCTACTCACTGGTGAGTTCTTTCATGCCTCCGAAGGGAACGGGGATGACTGTAGGCTCTTCCACACTGCTGACACTTATATGGTTTTTCTTCAGTGTGAGTGTGACTTATTTCATGAATTCGGAAGGAACTGGGGCAGATGAAGGCTTTCCCACACTCCTTACATTCATAGGGCTTCTCTCCAGTGTGGGTTCTTTCGTGTATCTGGAATGAAGTGGAATGACTGAAGGCTTTTCCACACTGTTTGCACTCATAGGGTTTTTCCCCAGTGTGGATGCGCATGTGAATTTTAAGGTGAGTGGAATAGTTGAAGGCCTTCCCACATTCCTTACATGTGTGTGACCTTTTGGCACTATGCGTTCTCATGTGATTGTTAAGACATGAAGGATACCCAAATGCTTTCCCGCAAATCTTGCACACGCATGTCTTCTCTTCAGCGTGCATCTTCAAATGTCCATTCAGATTTGAAGAAATAGCAAAGGCTTTGCCACATTTGACACACACAAAAGGCTTCTCTCCTGTGTGCGTTCTTACATGTTGAATAAGTCGTGAGGATGTAAGGAAGGCTTTCCCGCACTCCTTACATTCATAAGGCTTGTCACCATTGTGAGATCTAACATGTATACTAAGTCCTGAGTACTGAGTGAAGGCTTTCCCACACTGACTACACACATAGGGTTTCTCTCCAGTGTGAGTTCTTCCGTGTATCTGAAATGAGTTGGAGTAATTGAAGGCTTTCCCACACTCCTTACATTCATAGGGCTTCTCACCAGTGTGGGTTCGCATGTGAATGTCTAGATATGCAGGGTATCTATAGCCTTTCCCACACTCCTTACACCTGTACGGCTTCTTTGCATTGAGAGTTTCTATGAGCACAGCCAGTCTCGAGTTTATGAAACTTCTCCCGTATTCATTCCAATCATAAAGTCTGTCTCCACTGTGAGTTCTTCTATGTGTTTGAAGATGTGTCTGATTAATAAAAAACTTCCCACAGTCAATGCATTCTAAAGACTTCTCTTGTGTGGCAGTTTTTCGATCAACTTTAACTGGGGTCGTAGAGGCTCCCTCACTCTCACTGAGTCCAGAAGGTTCCTCACCAGCGCAGCTTTTCTTGGGAAGCATCAGGAAGTCTCTTCTGTACTGACCGCAATCATCGTCATCCCGTGTCGCTTGAGTTTTCGGATGTGTCTGAAGGGGTGAGAGGTCACTGCAGAAGGCTCCAGACTCCATCCAGTTATGGAGCTCTCCTCCACTCTGGCTTCCTGTTTGCTGGTAAGAAGGAAGAACAACGTTTTGGTTTTGCAGCCAATTGTTAATGTTATAAGCATTTGATAACAAAACATTGCAATTATGGTTATTTCCACTACCTGCATACAGTTCATACTAAGTGGTGGGATTAAACACTTTCTCCAGAATGCTGTGTCATCTGCTCTAATCTTTAAAAGCTTTCTGCACCAGTCCAATAAAAAGATGTAATTTGTATGAGTTCTGAAGCAGTGAGTTTCACTACACATTGGGGACACAATTTCATATTATTTCTTCAGACATTTGTTCTTGTATATTATCTACTTCTCTCAAAGCTCCTTTAATGGAATTCCTAGTTTTCTCCTCGAAGAGCTTCAAATATGCCAAATAGGTACTCTACAAGAGACACATCTTTAGCCTCTAGTTTCCTTTGAGAATAAAAATAAGATAAAATTTTTATTCTTACCATTTGCAACCCACTGGGCATGTTACCCCTCAAAAATTCCTGTTGGAATGCCGAACATTTGGTTTCAGGCTGCATTTTCCATTCTGAAGTGAAACAGAAAAATAAAGGTAGGAGTATGGAGAAGGAGGTAGAAAGCAGGAATTAAAAAAATAAGGTTTGGGCTGGAGAGATTGCTCAGTGGTAAGAGCACTGACTGCTCTTCTGGAGGCACCCACATGGCAGCTAACAACTGTCTCTGACTCCAATATCTCACATCCTCACACAGATCTCAGTGCAGGCAAAATACCAATGCAAATAAAATAAAATAAATTATTTTTAAAAATAAGGCTCATTTATTTTATTTTGAATATTAAAAGGTAGAAAAAGTAGAGCCAGATGAGGATTTTTTTTCTGTTTTATTTTTGAGACTACACAGCTCACACTGTGCTGACTTCATAGCCATTCCGACTCATTCCTGAGTAGAAGGACTACGGGAATGTGCCATCATGTCAGACAAAGATAATGACACTGCATCGAACTTTCAGGCTGTATCAAAAGTTGATCCTATAAAAATTAAAAGTATGGTAAACAGAAAGAAATTATCAGGGAAAGAGAGTAGAAAACTTCTAGAAAAAGAGCATCTCTCAAAGCACTAAGTTTAAGTAAGCTAAAAGAATATCGGAAGTTGAAGATTTTTCTTCTTGCCTCAGAGTTCTGAGACAAATTTTATCTTGAAGAACTTCATTATAGGAGCTTGATTGGTTCAACGGATAAAGTGCTTATTACACAGTGTGAGGGCCTAAGCGCAGAGCCCCAGAACTCACATAAGGCTGTCTGTAATTCCAGTATATCTATGACAAGACAGTAGATGAAGACAGGAGGATCCCCAAAGCTTGCCGGCCCGCCACATGCAGCAGCAAACAGAGGCTCTGTCAAATGAGGTGGAAAGTGAGGACAGACCAAAGGTTCCCTCTGACTCCAAAACACATACGTGGGAACATGTACACACCCCCCATACACGAGAATTTTAGAGCTTCTGTAAAATATTCATTCACCCCTTCATTCGCTTACTGAGTGTGTATGTGCAGACATATGCAAGCGTCACAGCACGCATGTAGAGGTCAGGGGACTCTGGGCGTTGGTTCTCTCTTTCTACTGTGTGGATTACAGGGATTGAACTCAGGTTGTCAGGCTTGGCCGCACATGCCTTTACCTACTGAGCCATCTCTCCAGTCCAACACAAGGGTTTTGTTTTTATTTTAAGTTTATTTCAATTGCAAACATACTAAACTTTCATTAAATAGAACTTCCAAGCCCAGTGATGGTGGTGCATGCCTTTAATCCCAGCACTTGAAGCAGAGGCAAGTGGATCTCTGTGAGTTCGAGGCCAGTCTGATCTACAGAGTGAGTATCAGGATAGCCAGGGCTATACAGAGAAACCGTGTCTCAGAAGAAAAAGAAAAAAATTAATTTCTATGAATACTGACCTGGGAAAACTATGTTCTGACATGTTCTAAATTCTTCTTGTTCCAACCAAGAAACCAGACTGGGTTTGATGAGCTGATATCCTGTGCACAAGGTAAGACACACTGATGAGAAGGCTTAGAGAAAAAAATGACAGAACTTCCCAGGGTTTAAGAATTAAAAAATTTTGCTTTTTCTCCAGTGTTTGGAGACAAGTGCTGGCTTCAAGCTCACAAAAATATTACTCTTATTGCCTCCCACATGCTTGAATTCCAGAAGTGTGCACCAAACTGCCAGGAACTAGATAATGATAAATATCTAATGATAAATAAATAATAAATAATGATAAATAAAGAGAAATAATTTTTAAGGCGCTAATTATACAAGTACCACCTGTCTATGCCTCAAAGTTTAGCTTGCTCTGGAGCCTAAGACCCCAGTTAATTTAGTCGTATATACATTTACAAAGTACTAGAGTTTTCTTTCTATAGTACTGGAGGTTGCACCCGGGCCCTGCAAGTGATAGGTGCTCGACCACTGAGTCGTATCTCAGCCCAGCACTTTACTTTTACTCAAACAGAAAGTAAGAACAGCTGGGAAAATATGTTTTAATGTACTGGGGTGGTTCTCAAAAAGTCCAGGTCTCCATATATTTTTTGCTGGGTGATGGTGGTGCATGCCTTTAATCCCAGCACTCAGGATACAGAAGCAGGTGGATGATGTAGGATGTCCTTCTGTATGTATCGCTTTTATTGGTTGATGAATAAAGCTGTTTGGGCCAATGGCTTAGCAGAGTAAAAACAGGCAAGAAATCTGAACAGAGATCTATAGAGACAGTAGACAGAGTCAAGGAGACACCACGTAGCTGCCAAAGAAGTAACATGCTGCACCGATAAGTCACAGCCTTGTGGCGATACAGATGAATAAAAATGGGTTAATTTAATACTCAGAGCTAGCCAGTAAGAAGCTTAAGACACTGGCCAAACGGTGTTGCAATTAGCACAGTTTCTGTGTGGTTATTCGGGTCTGGGTGGCTGGGAAATGAAAGTACAGTGTCCATTTACATGGGGATCTCTGAGTTCAAGGCCAGCCTAGTCTACAGAGTGAGTTCTAAAACAGCTGGGGCTACACAGAGAAACCTTGTCTTATAAACAAAAAACAAAAGAGAGAAAGAGGAGAGAGAGAGATCTGCAACAAAGAGATCTTTGTTCCTCTAGAAAAAATAACCACAAGTGGCTCATATATAGTATTATTAATCACAGTCATCAAGATAATTAAACTTTCTAATTTACTTATTATTTTGTATGTGTGTATAAGTGTTCATGTATGTAGGTGTACTTCTGTATATATGGTGGCTAATATCACACCTAGGCTTTACAGGAGAGCTGTGGCCCTAACTCAGGTCCTCTTGCTAGAGCAGTAACCATCTTCCTGAGTCATCTCCCCGAGCCCTTCTTAACTAAGAGCATGTGTTTGTGGATATGTATGTGTGTGGTATATGTGGTATATGCATGTGTGTGTGCAGGTATGAATGCCTGTGCCCACGTGCAAAGGACAAAGTGGGGTGCTGGGTGCTTTACTCTAGGGCAGTCTCTCCTGGAACCTTGGCTTGTGTTTTCCCCGTGAGACTGGCACCCAGTGAGCCTCAGTGATTCTCATTCCCAACCTCTCCTCAGTGCCACACCAGGGTTACAGGTGCATGCAAGACCACAATCCACTTGTTAGATAAGTACTGGGATCCCCACCCCAGGTCCTCAAGCAACTGCTCTTAACTGCCGAGCCATCTCTTGAACTCCAAGAGAATTTATAGACACATAAATGATATAAGATTATACACTGAGGTTTCTAATTTAGCCTATCAATGTAGAGAAGGAAAATATATACTTTCTTTTTGGGGTGGAGGACAGGGTTTCTCTGAGTAGCATGGATATCCTGGAATTCACTCTGCAGACCAAGATGGCCTCAAACCCAAAACTTTGCCGGCCTCTATCTCCTAAGTGCTAGGACTAAAGACATGAACCACCACCAACCAGCAAAAATATATATTAAATATATATTAAACTTTTTGAGAACCACCCCAGTACATTAAAACATATTTAAGGTGGTATATACCTTTAATTCTAGCATTCAAAAGACAGAGGCAAGGCTAATATTTGTGAATTTGAGGTGATCCTGTTTTACATCTCAATTCCAGGCCAGCAAGGGCTACACTGAGAACCTCTGTCTCAAAATACAACAAAACAAAACCAAAAAACAAAATATGCATTTAGGGATGGGGCTGTGTCTTATTCAGAGCTACCATCACCGTTCCTGACACACAGTCAGTCCATGGGAGGCTGCAGGGAGCAACAGCAGTCTCACCTACTGTGGCCAGGTTCCGGTAGTTCTCCAGCATCACGTCTCTGTAGAGGCTTCTCTGGGATGAGTTCAGTGAGGTCCACTCTTCCTGGGTAAAGTCCACAGCCACATCCTCAAAGTTCACCAACTCCTGAAATATTGAACACATGCCATGCTGGTCTTAGCCAATTAAGATCTTTGTTAATGAACATGGGAGGATGAGGAAGTGGAACCCAACATCTAAGAAAATTCTCTGGTCTCTAACACCAAGGTCCAGTGGCTTTACAAACTCCTCTTTAAACTCACGTGTGTGTGTGCATGGTGTATACACATGTAAACTGATAGGAACACTTGCCTATGCAAGTTCATGTGGGATGACTTCCTCAGTTAATTCTTCGCCTTGTTTTCTGAGACAGGCCTTTTAATTGAACCTGGAAACTGCTGTTTCGGCTAGACTGGCTGATCAGTGAGCCCTGGAATCTACTCGTCCCCACCCCAACCCTGAAATTACAGACATAAGCAGCCACGCCAAGTTTTACATGGGTACTGGGTCTCAAAACTCAGGTCCCTCTATTTGTACGAAGCCCTTTACCCACTGAGGCATCGAGGACCCCAGCCACCTTTTTACCTTGCTGGAGACAGAACCCAGAACCCTGACTGAGCATGGTAAGCAAGAACTCTACCGCTGAGCTCCATCTTCTGCTTTATTCTTGCTCTCTTATTTCCTCAAGTTAAATGTCACTGCTGACTAGGAACTGGTACCAAAAGTACACAAGAACATCATGGTATTTCTCTGTATTAGACACAGTAGCCAGCACCTCCTAAAGATGTGATGAGTGTGTATACATGAATAAATGTCTTAGAAAAGGAGGCTATCTCATCTACCTTATCGTTTGCCAGGGAACTCAAAAAAGGAAGAAACATTGCTGGTCAGGGGCCAGCAAGACGGCTCAGTGGGTAACGTTACTTGCTGCCAAGACTGATGACCAGGTGTGGACCTCAGACACACATGATGCAAGTAGAGCACTGACTTTTGCAGTTGTCCTCTGAATCACACACACTGTGGCATGTGCTCTACACACACAAACACACACACACACACACACACACACACAAATGTAATAATCAAAGAAAAATGATCTGACACCATGAAGGTAAAGCTAAGATCAAGATTAACTGTAAAATTCCAACTCACTTAATAGGAAAGGTTTTGTCATAATCACTGGCAACTTGACACAAACTAGACACATCTGAGAATAGGGAGTGTTAACTGAGGAACTGCCTTCATCAGATTGGCCTGTGGGCATTTTCTTGATTTCTGATTGATGAAGAAAGGCCCTGTCCACTGTGGGTAGTACCATTCCCCAACAGGTGAGGTGGGGTGTTTAAGAAAGGTAGCTGAGCAAGTCAGGATCATGAGACAGTAAACAGATTCCATCACTGGTCTCTGCTTCAGTTCCTGCCTCAAGTTCCGGCACTGACATCTCTCAGGGCTCGATTATGATCTGAGAATTGTAAACTGATGGTTTTTTATCATGGCAACAGAAAGCAAACTATGACAGGGTCTCTATCCCGGGAAGCCAGAGCCTTAGGTGAGTGAAGCTCTATTTGCTGTAAACAGCTCTAGAGACAAGTTTGTTCAGAGGAAATTGTCTGTAGGTGGAATGTTTTGGATGTGTGTGCATGTGTGTATCTTTTTTACCTGATAATTCGTCAGGCAGTCAGTCAGCATCCTTTGTGCTGATACCTTCTCTTCTTGACGGCAGACTGAGTCCCCTGAAAGATCTCATGGAAAAGGAAGCAGGTATGAATACTGAGTGGTGCAGAGTCTCATCCGAAGGCACAGGAGTCATTCCACCCTAGTACAAAAGCCTCACGTCATCAATCTAACTATAGACTGACATCTCCTCCCTCCCTCCTGGTCTCCATCTTTCTTGTTCTGTGCTTCTCAATATTGTTCTCTCTCTCCTTCTTCTCTCCCTCATTTGTACCCCACCTCTCTCTCACACACACACACATCTGAGAGCCCGTTCCCATCCCTACATGCTATAGAATGCTAGCGCAGTCCTGTGTCATCTACAACCTGAAAGAAGGATGCAAGGAATGCTTCTTACTAGGGCAACTCTATTAATAGCATCTTCATCTCATAAGGAAGGAAGCTTTATGCCCTGAAGACGCCACTTTATCAGGGTTGGAGCTGTAGCTCAGTCAGTGCAGTACTCGCCTGGAGAGCATGAAGCCCCAGGCTCCATCTTAGAATAAATGGGTATAAATGGTGCATACCTATCATCCCAGCTCAAGAGGTGGAAGCAAAGGGATCAAGAATTCAAGGCCATCACCAGTTACCTAGCAAATTCAAGGCCACCATGGGCTACATGGGGCTCCATCTCAAAAAAAGAAAACTGTTGGGGGATAGGGAGATGGTTCAGTGGCTAAGGACTCAGGTTCAATTCCCAGCACCCACATGGCAGCTCACAACTGTCCAGTCCCAGGAGATCTGACACCCTCTTCTGGCCTCAATAGGCACCACATACATACATACACACACACACACACACACACACACACACACACACACACACGATGCATAAACAAACACTCATACATATAAAAATAAACAAAATCTAAAACAAAAATGTACTTTATCATGACTATAAAACATATAATGAGGGCTGGAGAGATGGCTCAGTGGTTAAGAGCATTGCCTGCTCTTCCAAAGGTCCTGAGTTCAATTCCCAGCAACCACATGGTGGCTCACAACCATCTGTAAAGAGGTCTGGCACCCTCTTCTGGCCTTCAGGCATACAGACAGAATATTGTATACATAATAAATAAATAAATATTTTTAAAAAAACATATAATGAAGACTGCACCTTTACCCCAGAGGCGCTACAAATATTCCTGTGGGTCAGCAAGTGGGTTTCAACCTGTTTTCAATTCCTAAGGCCTTACCGTGGGAAAAGTCAGTGGCTGCCATCCTGTAACACAGAAGTGGGTCTGGATGTTCTTTCCACTGGAGCTGCCGTCACTGCAGTGCAGCTGGTGGGTTCAGAGGACAGTGGCACTCTCCATTGCCTGCTGGACACAACCATCAGTGTTTCCGCAGTATCAATCCCTAGTTAACATCAGTTACTCAGACAATACCTATCAATTATACATTAACTATATGCAGGAAGTACACAGGAAGATCATTACACAGTGCTCTCTGAAACATGAATTCTAGTGATACCAGCTGCAATTTACTGAGGAATGCTATGCAGCAAGTGTGCAAGGAGTGTGTGTGTCCGTGTGTTCAATTAATCATTACAATCACCCTTCACAGTAATACAACTGCCCTTAAAAGATCTATATTCAAAGCCTGTAATGCCAGTGCTACACACTGGATATCTGTTGCTCTCATTGGTTTGATAAAGGACTCTCACTGATTTAACAAAGGGCTAAATGGCGAATAGCTAGTCAGGCATAGGTTAGCAGGACTTGTGGACAAAAAGAGAGAATGGGGATGAAGAAGGGCAGAGTCACCAGCGAGATGCAGAGGAAGCAGGAGATGAACATGCTCTGCTAAAAATAAAGGTACTACCACATGATAGAGCGTAGATAAATCTAGTTAGTAACAAGGCTAAGCTATCAGCTGAGCATTTACAATTAATAACAAGTCTCTGTGTGGTTGAGAGCTGGCTGGTGGAACAGAAAGCCCTGCAAACATGCCAGCCCTTGAGAGGCTGCACCAGGGAAATGGCTGTGAATTCAAAGCTAGCAGGGATATAAACTTTGCCTCAAAAAAAAAAAAAAAAAAAAAAAAAAAAAAAAAAAAAAAAAAAACAGGGAGTTGGCAAATCGGCTAAGCCAGTAAGGCACTTGTGTCCAGACAATGAGCTTCACAGCTTGAGTTTGATCTCCACGACCCATGTAAAGGTGGAAGGCACCCTTCTCCCTACATCACACACTATACACACAAAGAAAATAATTAGAAAATTTAAAACAGAACAAAACAGGAAAGGATCTATATTCAGAGAGCATTAGCGATTGCTCATTTATCATCTGGTTCAGAAACGATGATGCAGGACTTAAAGGCAGGTAAAGGTTTCTTTCATTGCCATGCAAACTTGCCCTCATCTTCAACAAGTGGGAAAACTATATGTACAACAAGCAGATGGTTATTTTCTTATCTGTGTGTACACCTTCTGCAAATGTGCACACGCAGAGGCCAGAGGTTTCTATGCCCCACCCCATCCTTCTCCACCCATTCATTTAAGGTGGGTGTTTCCCTGAGCCAGGGGCTCACGTTTTCTCAGCTGTGCTGAAAGCCAGAAAGCTCCAGTGGTCCTGTCTCCATCCTCCTTAGGACTGGAGTTACAGATGTTAATTGGACACATAGTTTTATACACGAGTGCTCAGATCTACAGCAAGTGTACTTGAAAATTGAGTCATCTTTATGGTCCCAAAATAATCCTTTTGTTTTCAGGTAGATTTTTTTTTGGTGGTGGTCTTTGATCCTGTTTGACAGGTGTGGAGGATGGAACACAAGATTCATACAGGATAGACAAGAGTTCTACAACTGAGCTATATCTCAATCTTAAATGTAAAGGTATTTGGGCAGGGGGAATCTCAAATCATAATTTAAGCAGTAAGCAACCTCAGTAAGGTCTTGGTAGGAAACTCAAGCCTTCTTCCCCTAGCACAGGGGATGGCTAGAGCAAAATTAGATCTATTCAACACCTTTTTTTATGGGTCTTTTCAGAGAACCATCTTTTCAGTTTTTGTTTTAGGGTTCCTGTTTGCCTGTCTGAAACAAAATTAATAATAATAATAATAATAATAATAATAATAATAATAATGTAGAAATAGTGTTTCATAGTGTTTAATTTTTTTCACCAGTTTGCTTTAATTTCCTTCTCACACTTTTCTTCCTTCTTCTTCCTCTTCCTCCTTTTCCTCTTTTTTTTCCCCTGAGACAGTTTTCTGTATAGCCCTGGCATACTTGGAACTTGTTCTATGAACCAGGCTGGCCTTGAACTCAGGGATCACCTGTCTCTGCCTCCCAAGTTGTTTTTAAAAAACAAAACATAACAAAAAAAAGCAAAAAATAAAACAAGGTCTCATGTCCTAGGCTGACCTCAAACTCACAATGTAGCCAAGGTTGGTCTTGCACTTCTAATCCCCTTGCCGCCATTTCTCAAGTGCTAGAATTAGCACAGATGTGTGCCACCATGCCCAGTGGATGTGGCAATGCTGATCAAACCCAGAGTTTTGTGCATGCTAGGCAAGCACTATACCAAATGACTTATATCCCCAGCCCTCCCTTTAGTTCATCATTAAGCATTATGTATCTTAAAAATAATTCTGTGGACTGGAGAGATGGCTCAGCTGTTAAATCCTAGGTTCGCAACCAAAAATATAAAAAGCATTTTTGTTAAAACTTAATGGCAATCATCAATGAATCAAACCCTGAAGAGCAGTCCAAATAATATAGTTACACAGTTCATTATCGATAAATCAAATTATACACTCACAGAAACCTTACACAGGCCCTATCCATAGATCAGACTAAAATATTGACTCTAAGATATAATTAAAATTCAAACACATCTTTGTGGGAAGAGGGGAAGCATATATCGTGTGCACAAAGCCTAGGGGACATGGGACGTCCGGTTCTACCCCTTTCCACCACATTCCACTGAGACAGCATCTCTCACTGGATCCCCAGCTGACCGGTAGCCAGTGAGCCCCGGCAATCCTTTGCCTGTCACACCACTGGGCCTACAGGTACCCAGATGACTATGCCATGGATATTGGGGGTTGAACTGTTTCTCACACTGTACACAGTGTTCTCACTCACTGAGCCAACTCTTCAGTTCAAGTGTACACATCTTAAATATGCACTGGGGTTTTAATAAAGGCTTACATCCTAACACATTCCTAAACAAGATAAAAGCATCTCCACAGAAAGACCACAGTCCTCCCTTTCCAGTTCCTTCTTGAATTTGTGATTTCTGGCTTCAGTCTGCCAAGTACTTGGGTTACAGGTATGTACAATGCCTGGCTCCCAGTCAAGCATTTGTTTTCTTTTGTCTACCAGATATAATAATACGTAGTGAAAACGGGACAAGCTGTTCATCTTTTCCAAATGTTGACTGCGGAGGCAAAAAAGCCAGAAATTCCTTTCTCTTGTTTCAGTGTCCTGTGATGCCCTGTTATCTAACAAAAGCGTAACTCTTAGCTTAACCGTGGCGTCTCACCCCAAATGGCCAATCTTTTCTTCCCTTTTTGTTAAAAATGGGTTTTCTTGCACCAATCTTAGAAAGGACAAATGGTGTTTATAAAGCTTACTATCTAGCAGGATGCTGAAGTGTCACCTTTTATCTCAATGACCCCCAAACAAATGGCCCAGGATATAAGTTAGGTTAATGTCTCTTAGCTTCTACAGAAGGTACCCATTCTCTCTCAGAGGCAGCAAGTGCCTGAGAATTTCTATGCCGTGTTTGTCAACAATGCATAGTAGTAATGTGTGTTTGTGTGTGCATGTGCGCTAATGCGCATGTGTGTGTATGTATGTATAGGTCAGAGGCCAACTTTCTGGGGTTGTTCTCACCTTCCACCATCATGTCATAGGACCACATTCCAGTTATCACCCCGCGGAGTCATCTCTCTGGCCCCAGAATGTACACTCTTCATTAAAACTTTGTGTCAGTTTTCACCTGGTAAATACTTCTACTCCCATGCCTAGAGCTCCCTGCTCTCATCATATTTGAACTATCTTCTATTTAAGAAAACACCCGGGGGCTGGAGAGATGGTTCTCATAGAGGACCCAGGTTCAATTCCCAGCACCCACATGGCAGTTCACACTGTCTGTAACTCCAGTTCCAGGGGGTCTGGTACCCTCATGTAGACATACAAGCAGCAAAACACCAATGCACATAAAAATGAATGAATCTTTAAAAAAAACACCTGGGAAAATACATTAATATTATCTTCTGGAATTAAGAACTTGCCTTGAAAAATGTGCTACGTACATTTTGTATGATTATGGGCTAGGTACACATGTTAAACCTTAGTATTTCATGAAAAGCAAAACCTCATACCACCTCTAAAAATGCTTATAAGCTGGGTATAGTTGTGTACACCTTTAATTTCAGTACTCATGGCGGCTGGAGAAATGGCTCAGTGGTTAAGAGCACTGACTGCTCTTCCAGAGGACCCAGGTTCAATTCCCAGCACCCACATGGCAGCTCACAACTGTCTAAAAATCCAGTTCCAGGTGATCTGACACCTTCACACCAATGCACATAAAATAAAGATAAAAAATCATAATTTCAGTACTCATGAGGCAGAGGCAGGTAGAGCTGTGTGAGTTACAGGCCAGGCTGGTCTGCATAGTAAGTTCCATGCCAGCCTGAGCTACACAGTGGTTAGAGACCCTGTCTCCAAAACAATTCTTATATATACCAAAAGACTGTACCATCAGCAAAACAAAAAGAGCCAGTGTTTTGTACTTCCAAGCCATGTCTAAGATCCTAACATAAACTTCAGATTTAAATCGAGGGCAAGAGACATGCACAGCCAAGCAGTTCTGCTAAGTGTGCAGTTCTCCTCATCACGATAGCTCAGGCTCCCGTCCCTGCTGCAATGTGATCTGACCTCTTTCCAGGATACAACCCCCTCCCCGGCCCCACCCTATCCACCCACACTGGCTCCTAGCCTGTTCCTTCTCCCAACATAAAAATCTTTCAGAAATACCAACTGAAGTGAGTATATGCTTTTGAAAGTCTATTTCAAAAAAAAAAGGGGGTAGTCACCAGTTTCTCTTTGTATACCTTGATTCCCACCAGGGCAATTAGAGATCCTTCTGAAATTGTACAACTAAGTACTAACTAGATTTAATTAAATGATTTTCATAACACAATATAAATTTAAGTTTCCAGGAAATATATTAAGAATGGGAGGGTGAGAACGATACCTTGTTTGTGCACTCAACCACAACACAGCTTGACTTGGCTGCACACACCAGCGTCCAATGTGAGTTTTGCTTTGCTGTTTTTTTTGTTTGTTTGTTTGTTTTTGTTTTTGTTTTTTG